TCTAAGGCAAAATTGGAGGTCTCTGCTTCTGAAGCAGAGCTCTCTTGATGTGGCTTGGCAGGTCCTGTGGACGGAGAGGACAGCCATGTGAAGGAGAGTTCCTTCAAAACCACAAAACAAATTTAGCCATTCACTTAGCCACAGCCTGGGTCCTGAGAAGGTGAAAAGTCTCTCTGTGAAGAGTGAAGACACAGAGAACAGCTGTACATTCATAACAACCTTCTGTTACAAACAACCAAAACAAGGACAAACAGAAGTGGTTCAAGGAGTCAGACACTCTGAAGCAACAAACCCACAAATCAATATGGGACTCCTGTTGCCCAGGGACTAGTACCTAAAAGTAATTTAAATAAGTCAGGAACTCCTGAGACACCAGAAATTAGCTCAGGCACTACAAAGTGGAACTATGCATGCTACCTAAGGAATCCATTTTGTAGCACATGGATTCTTTTAGAAGCCTCTGAGTTCTCCACACACTTTGAAAGAGCCCCATGTGAGGCCAGGATGTTGTATCTTCTTATCTTTTCCCTGCTGAATAAAGTAAATTACTTTGTAAAAGGCTTGCAGATGCTCTTACTTTTAAAGTATTTCAGGAGACAGCTTGAAGCTTGAGTCTTTCAGGTAAATGGGAAGCCTGACTGTTAATCTATTTCTTTCACATGGCAAGGAGGATGGAGAGTAAGTGGAAGTTCCTATCTCAAAGCTAAAATTTACCTGTATAAAATCTGTTTCATTTCCTATTAAGTTGTTTTAAGCCATGAAGGGTTAAGTTATGGAGCAAATCTAATGCTGCAGAAAAAACCCACATGAGATCTTTTTAGAGGTGCATATGTCTATGCAGTGTGATGCATCTGCAAACCATACTGAACTATCTGATTGGAAAGAGCAAAAAATCAAAGGCAGCCTGCAGTTAGAAAATGAGACCCTGGGTAGAATCCATCTGCCAGTGATGCAATTAAAAAGATGGACTTCTAGGAACAGCAGTGATTGTCATTTGTGTACGACACTCAGTGGGCTATGATTTCCTCAGATGATACTCATGCATTGCAGCACCTGGTGAAGACCATGTGATGATCACTATGTAGCCCACTACATTTTCAATAGTTAGCACTAGTTTAATCCCAAGATAAGATATTTAACAGGTGTGAAAGAGAGTAAGGGCTCATTCTCCACACAGAGAATAGGGCAGAAAGACTAGCTTGTGTGTTTTTTATTTCCTGTAAATGTGTTTCTCAGAAGGTTTGTGGACATGTATCTCCCTCCTCTGGTGCACAATGAAGTAACACCCTGATGGTTTTGTTCTGGCAAAAAAAAGAAATCTGGGAAAGAGTCCTTAGTGAAGGAGTGCAAATACTCAGTACTTCTCATGGGAGATTATGTATTTCCTTTGCTGCTTCGTTTCATTATAGTATCATCATATAATATAAATATAATAGCTGTCCTCTACACCTGAGCAACTCGTATTCATTAATAGTTTTCTCTAGACAGTTCAGCCCAGATTTGATGTCAAATCTCCATGAAGGTCAAAGAAAGCATCCCCCTCCTGATAACTGACACTGGCAAACTGGTAACAATGGATGAGAAGGAGGCTAAGGTTCTCAACATTTTTTTTTTGTCTCAGTCTTCACTGGCAAACTCTTTTCCCACACCTCTGGAGCAGATGGACTGCATGGCAGAACTGGGGGAGCAAAGTCCCTTCCTCTGTAAGAGAAGATCAGTTGCATGATTACCTGAGGAACCTGAATATACTTAAGTCTATTTGACCTGATGAGATGCATCCCAGAGTCCTGAGGGAATTAGCTGATGTAGCTGCCAGGGCACTCCCCATGATACTTGAGAAGTCATGGCAGTCAGGCTTGAGAGTGGAAAAAGGGAAACATTTAACCCATTTTCATCCAGGGTAGAAAGGGCCCTGGGAACACTGGCATAGGTTGCCCAGAGAAGCGGTAGATGCCCCACCCCTGAAAACATTCAAGGTCAGGTTTGATGGGGGTCTGAGCTACCTGATCTATTTGATGATGCCCCTGGTCACTGCAGGGGGGCTGGACAGGGTGATCAGCTAGAAAGGAACTGATCTGGGAAGGGAGTAGCAAGATAACCCCTGCTGACATCCATCTGTAGCAGAGCAGGTATTTCCTCATAGGTGGGTAGAAAACTGCTTGCTGTTCCTCCAAGTGCTGCTGTGACCTCCAGCCCCACTGGTGAGAGTACTGGTGCCTTTCTTTTATTACCAGAGAGGCTTTAAGAGACTGTTCTGGTTTGCTGTCACCCACACCTGGATATTAACCAAGTGCTCGCAGAAGGAAGGCTCATCTGCTTGAAGTCTGGGGTGACTTTTGCCTAAGCAAGACTACTCAAGATAGTGCAGCAAATTCAGATTAGAGGAGAAATCCTTCTGGTACAGACTTCTTTATTCTTTGTCACAGTTAAGGGAGCTATCTTCAAAGGAAGCAGTGTCCTCCACACACACATCCTTTTCCTGGATAAATCCATCTCATTCAACAGCTTCCAAAGAAACAGCTATTTTAAGAACAGAAATGTCTCACCCCCTTTTACAACTTGATTTTTCAGTTATTCTGACACTAGTTTGTCTATGTGCCAGACTAACAAGAGACAAAAGAATAAACAGATCGCTATAGCACTGAAAGAAGGCATTAACCCAAATGTACTTTAAAACAGGATAGGCTTGTCAGTACCTCAACTAAGATTTCCTTCTGGATACTCCATCTTGCAACTACAGCAGCACATCCCCTCTGTTACAATGGGGGTGTATTTAACACAACCCCTCACAAGGCTACAGCCAGTCTTATGAGCACTTGCACAATGTAAAACAGGCAATTGCTTTAAAATTTTGAGACATTTTAATGATCTTTCTGGAGGGACTGCTTCTTCCCTAGTCTTTTACTGCCATCTAAACAAACAGGAGCTGCAGCCAGAGATTGCTGTGCTGTCAGTGGTATTCTGACACATTGGACTAACATCAGGCACTGTCCTGATTTGCACCACTGCCAGCAATGGGGCTCTGCTCTCTGCCTCTGAAACTGCTGATTAATAAAAGCTCAACCTCATCCACTTCCCTTAACTCCTGCCTAGCTAAGGCCAAGTGTTTCTTCTGAGCAGCTAGAAGACAAGCCTGGGAAAACAGGTTGCTTCTGCTTCTTGGAAGCCTGCTCCCGACTTGAGCAAAGCAAGAAAATCCTGATCCAGTTCTTCACACAAACTGGTGTGGTTGGGCTCAAGACTTCCAAAGACTTCACAGATGGACTTAAATGATGCAGGCTATGGGCAAGCCCTCAGAGAAGAAATGCTCTGTGGGCTTCAGTGCTTCCTAACAGGAAAAGAACAGAAAAGCTTTATATTATCCAGACTTTCACAGAAGCACAGAGCTGCCAAAGAGCTACTTAGCTCAAATGGCCTCACAGAACTCCCTATCTGTGTATCATGACTGCTCAGCTAACCATGTCAGTGGTACAGTGCCTTGTACATGGTGATCTGCAGGATAGGAGTATGCTGCTCAGCTAAGCCCAGCCATCCTCTGGGAGCTACAACACTCAAATGAGCCTGAGTGTTGCCTGAAGTAATCACATCTCATAGTGGGGAAGGCACAAGCAACAGTTCTATTCACTCTTTCGACTTTTACTTACACAGAAGGATTCTGATTCAACTTTACCCCTTGAACGCAGCAGGATTCTAATCCTCCGGGCTTTAATCATTTCAGGTAAAAATGTTATTCACCCAGTATTCTGGAGTCATTTGGATTCATGGGCTGGCTTGACCATGACAAAAAAGTAGATGGAAACTGGAATATTTGGATAATGACTCAGCAGTGTTCAGAGTGAGGTTTGCTAATTATGGTGGAGAGGATGTGTGATAAAAATTCAGACTCAGTGGGGTGCTGCAGTACACTAGTGAGATTGTGAAGGCTGAACAACTTGCTAACAGAAATCTAGAAACTGATACAGGGTTGGTATAATTTTGGTTGAACATATAGAAACATATAAGCTCAACACGAGCCCTCACAGTAATAAAACAAACTAAGCTTCTGTACATGGGCTGCTTTTGAGAAAATAATTAAGAATTAGAAGAGGCACCTAATAATAAAAGAGGAAATTCAGAAACACGGAATATCATCCTAAAATTTAATGCTCACCTATGCCTTCATTGCTTTGAAAATAAAATGGCAGCCATGATAATTCGAAATAGAACCCTGCGTGCACCCAACACTTAGAAATACAGTTGCTTCACTAACTGCAGGTGTTGCAAGTGTGCAAGGCAGAGTGATTTTAAGTGACTGAAATTACATTAAAAAAATCTGCAAACCATTTCCCAGCCTTTAAAGCTGTAGAGTTTGTACAGCACTTCAGTGCTGCTCCTGGACTAAAACAGAAGGTTCATTCTTGCATGGAGCTGTTGAGTCATGGATATGAAATACTACGTATGTGGTTGAAGAGGTCATGGTTTTCTCCTCCAAGCTCTGCAGTGAGTGGATTCAGTGTGCTCCTATTTGCTGTAGGTTTACTTGCTTGTGCTGGTGGAAAAACACTGGGCTCCAGCAGCATCCAAAATGTACAGAAAGCTGCATTCACACTGTCACCTCTTGTTAGCCACACATACCGTGGTCTCAAAGTCAGGGAAAGGAGGCTGAAGCATGCACTGAACAGAGCTTGAACACACAAGACCCCCCACACTCCTCCTCTCCCAGCACACACCCCCCATTTCCTTTCTAGTCTTTGTATGGGCACCAGTGTCCACGCTGCGAGGCCTCTTTCGGGCTAGAGGGTAGGGAAGCACAAGGGAAAGAAAAAAAGGAGGTAATAAACTGCGAGGGGTGAGAGGCTGGGGATCTCCTTCCCACAGAGCAGCGAGGTTCCCAGCGGAAAAGCCAGTGAAGTGCTGCTATAGCCGCGGCTTACCCCCAAGAACCCCGCACCCCGCCGGCCTGGATACCAGCGCGCCCCCCCGCGGCCGTCTCACGCCGCTGCGCTGCTGCGGCGCCGAGCCGCGGGGGCTGCGGGGCCGACGGGGGAGCGGCCCCGGGCCGGGCCGAATCTTCCCGCTCGCCTCTGCCCGGCTGCTGCAGGCTGCAGCGGCGCTGGGCAGGTCCGCTCCTGCCTCTCCCCCTGCCAGGCCGCTGGAGGAGGCAATGAACTGCTCCTTTGCAGCAAACGTCTTTGCAGCCCCACAGCACGCACCTTGCCTCGCACACCCCTTCCCCGAAGGGCCATGCATAGCTGAGGCCACATCCTGACTGATCCACACGCTGATCCACAGCCCTTCTGTCAGCAGCAGATGGGGGACAGGAGGAAGCAGACAGGAAAGGTGGGAGATCCAGGTATCAAAATGATGGGCGTTTCTCTCCCTGCTGATCGATCTGGATCAAAACTCTTCTGCTGTCTTTAAAGGCCCCCCGGGAGGTAACCAGCAGCAGCCCACGGATTTTGGTATGTGCTTCACCTCAGTTTTGGGCCATGCATCTAACTGCACTGCTGCCAAGAAGAAGGGGCTTGAGTTACATATCTGGAGGGAAAGCTGTGGGTCCCTTCTAGCAAATCACCTACTGAGATGTGCTGCTACACACAGTGGGCTGCAGTCCTCTGTTCAACATGGGCAGCTTGTGAGCATGTGGGAAAAAAGTCTGGAGGTGCCTCATCTGCTGAGATCCCATTCAGCCTCTCCCCAGGGTCCCAAGGAATTTAATGCATTTCCGAAAGTAACAAATGTTCTTGTGAGCAGTGGCTTTCAGTGCTGAGTACCAGAGGTCTCCCAGGCCTGGCTTGGACAGTTCCCACATAAGGGGATGTGGGGAGGGAAGAAAGAGTTTAGAGGTCGTTTACTGATTCTTTCTCTCCATGAACATAAAGTAAGGGAACTGGAGGCTCACCACAGTTCTCAGAACTCCGTTCACTCCCTAGTGCTCACTTGTCTCAATAAACAAAACCCAGCAGTCCAAAACCCAGAAACAGGGCTTGCTTGATTCCTGGTTTAAGCTTGTGCTTCCCAGTTTAAACTCCTGCAAGACAAAGTTTGACTCCATCCCAGGAGAGTGGTGAATATTCCTCATAAGCTCGCAATCTACTGATAAACTTTGGGCTTCTCCCCTCACATCTGCATGCAGGGATACTCCTTCAAGGCCCATAAGAGTTATGATGATAGCAGCACTGAGCAATGCATTGTGATGGGGAAATGTTCCCTGGCAGGAGAATCAGGCTCTGCACAAATATGTCCAACAGACTTCCAGTGTTTTTCTCCTGTGTGGTGCTCCCACCAGAAGACTTGCCGGATGCCCCACCCGTGCTGCCTCACCTGCTGACTGGGGAATGGTGCTCTAGTGACTGGGCAGTGAAGGATGAACTTGAAGGACTGGATTTGTTTAAGTTCTGGGCTGAGCCCCCATGACACCTCTTCCTGACCTCGTGTAGCATCTGACATAACGTGCCTTATGTGGGGCCATGCGAATCTCTGCAACCTCGCTGCAAATGGGTCTATTACCTGCAGAAGGGCACCAAGCTTTCAGCTGTGGTCTGACAAGCACAACTGCAACCATACAGAGTAGGAAAAGCAGGAGGCACATTCCCTTCTTGAGGACATTTGATAGCGGACCCAGCTGCGCTAGACAACCATTCAATTTCACAGCAAAGACCAGCCGTGCTGAGGGCACGAAAGGGAAGACTTGGCTCATGCATCTCGGTGTTTTGTCATTCCTGCTCAGGGCATGCTGTTGCTGGTTCTGAGAATAGTGTACCAAGTGACATTTGGCTGTGGTAGACCTGTTTTACAATGACGCCTCGTGCAAACCCACAGCACTCAAAATGAAAAGAGGCAGGGCTTGTGAGAAATGAATTCTTCAGGAAGGTATGGCACATGCTTTTCTAAGAATACACTGCATGATAACACATAACACTTGCCAAAGGGGAAAGGCGAAAGGATATATATTGCCCTGCCCATCTATCAAGTATCGAGGAGGTCTGATGAGAATATCAATGTGTACTCAGATCATATTTACTTCTTTTTAAGTTACGTTTTTGTAATCCTTTTATAGCAGTCTTTCTTTACCTAGTTGGCTACACTTAATATGTTGGGGGAATGCTGCATTTAGAGAAATTTTTATTTTCCCTCCTCTTTTGGGTTGGCAATTTACTGCAGTCAGCTACTGTGCTTTCTTGTTACAAGAGTAACTGCTGCCCCATTTACAAGGACTAGATAAAGGATTACACAACCTGGCCCTACGGCAGCGGTGAGGACGACCACACTGTAGAAGTGAAGCGTGTATATGTGGGTATATTCAAGGGGAGGGAAAAGCTAGTGATGCTTTTAAGATTTGAGGCCCACTCTTTAACGTAAAAGGTATGTTCTTCTTAGAAGGGGGGAAACTCATGAGTTACTTATAAAGCCTGAGAGTGCCAAATCCCAGAGTTACAGGAACATCTGCTTAGAAATCTTCTGAAAAAAGTTCCCTTTGCACCATTTTCCTTTGGCTAAATCTTGCTTTGGACTACATGACTTGTGTCTGTTAGTAAATACAACCGGTGCAGAACACTCCTGGGAAAACCTCTCAGCCTCCAAAGCTGGGTTGCTGCATCTGAACTGCTTAACTGGAGCTGGTACTGGAACATCCTCGTTCTGCATGTGTGGGGCCCTTGGGTTAGAGCACCTGCTGGCTCACCCCTATGCTGAGGTAACGCTGGCTTCCCTCCTGCCAGCACCCAGAGCTGGTAGCTAACACTTTATCTTGGAATTCAAATACCATACAGTACTCAGGCACAGCTGCTGGCAAACACGTGCGGGTGCAGCCAAAGTATTACTGAAGCCCAGAGCCATTCTTTCTAGAAGGAAGTAGCTTATGGCAAACACCCAAAGCAGTGCCTGCTGCTCTCACAGGCATGTAGCAGGGTTCCTCACATCTCCCTCATTCCTATGGCTGTGACTGATACAGCAGGATTTACCTTATAAACCCACAGAGCTGCACTGAAATTCTGGGCACCCAGGTCTCCTTTTCCCTGAACTCCCTCTTGAGGTCCCCAGTATGCCCATGTTTGCCTTATCCTTTGGAGAGCTCAGTCCTGCTTTAACTCCACCCCATTCACTTGCCGTGCCTGTCTGTCTCTGGACTGAACTGCATGTATCTGCCTCAGGAAGATATTCCCCCACTCAAATACAACACCACTGATATTTCTCACAACAATCATTCAATCATCCCTTCCTTTTGCCCTTTCTATCAGAGGAAATCTGTCATTTCCATAGATTTTACTACTGCAGCCATTGCTTAGGGTCTTTGAGGTCAAAGCTGGGTAAACCTCAAGTGCCTCACCAGGCAACTGTGCAGGAATAAATTTCAATTTCCAAGATTCAGTCCGTTGATGTATTCCCTGAGCTGACACTGCTCACAGGCTCAGCTGTATCACAGGTCACATGTTTAAGATTTCCTTATCTTCACTATACGTTAAATATACTATATATGGTATGCTGAAGAGGCAAGACTCAAATAAAAACACAAACAAAATGTACATGGTTGAAAAGAAAGCTGTGAGGAATTCTCCAGCCCTGTCTTCACTGTCAGGAGGGTTTTGTGCCAGGTAGTATTTTAGGACATGTTTTCATGATCTGCTTTACCTGACCTCAGCCTCACCAAGAAAAAGCAGCACCATCCAGGCCACTCTGACCTCCAGCCGCACCACCCTACCCTTGTGCTGGCACTGGGATTAATTTGGCTGTGGGATGAACTGGAGCAGAAAAAGGTTTTGGCTTACCCAACTGCATGAGGGCTAGTGCTGCTAGAAGGGAAGGAGAGTCACGGGGCTAGGGATTCTGGGGAGCAGGGAATGATCCTGCCCATTTTGGTAGCAGTTGCTCTGCTGTCAGTGAAATCACACCCTCAGGGCAGGGGCCCTTCATTCTCTGTGTGATGAGATAATTCAGGCATTGTGCATTGTCTTCTCATTCAAATCACAGTCAGGAGTACCGTAAAACCTCACAAGTTTAATAGATTAGATGATGTCAGTTTTGGCCTGCCTGAGGGAAATGCTGAGGTGCGAGGGCAGCAGCCACTTTAGCTTAAGAGATAGGAACTGAGCCTTTGCAGTAGCACACACCTAACTGTTGGACTCACTGCGGGCCAGTCCTCCATTAGTGGGAAGGCTTAGTACTGCTTTGTGTGAGGCAGTCACAACAGGAATTTTTCAGCAGCACAGCAGTGTCTACACTGAACATGTGCCCACATTGTCACAGCAGAGGTGGCCTTGTTGTTGATAAACGGTGCTGCTCTCTGAGGAGAGTTTCCTCTTGGAGGGTAATGATTGCCAATGCAAATTAGAGCTGCCTGCAGCTGCAGAGCACAAGCACAAACTTTTTGTCATGTCTTCACCAGAAGTCAAGCCACATGAAATGTGATTTCCCATGAAGACATGTTGAAAGTCTGGGCTTCACAACAGCCCTGAAATCAGCACTAACAGCTCAGAAGATAAGGTGCCATCAGCTAAACCCTTCTTGTGCCTGCTCTGCAAGAGCTGGAGCTCTTGGTGGCACCGGGATTAAAGAACTGATCTGTACTTAATAGACGTAATACCTTGGTGTCTGTCCTCCCTTTCCTGCTAAACAAATGATGGTTGCTGTAGGCAGCCACTCTTGTAGAAAACTTCCAGCTATCAAGGGGAAAAATCTTCAGCAATTATGTAAACAGCTATGGTAGGCATTTGCACAATTTGGAGTGTACAGACTATAGCTGTGGCCTTTATGACATTTGCTATTAAAGCAGGTTACTGGTCAAAAGCCTTGAAGAAACTGTGGGCACTTAATAAGGGTAACAAAGTGGATCCCAAGAACAGCACGTGCAGGTTAGCTAAAAATGTAGTTAATCCCTGGAAGTGCAAAGCAAATAGATTACCATGTTAACTGTGCATGTGGCTTCTGTCCATTTTAGGGCAAAGAGAAGGATGGGTGCCCAGCTGGGGCACCCAGAACACCATCCCAGGCCCCCCCTGGCCCTGTGCATGAGTGAAAAGTGCAGGACAAATTGCAAAGAGTGATAGTAAAAGCAAGAGGTGGATGTGACCTCTTCAAGGTCAGCTGAAGGGCCTTATAGTATATTGGTGAATGAGGCTGGGGTCCTGCTTCAGAGAGGCTGCTAGGAGGGAGAGACTGTGATTCACTTCAGGAGAGCACTTGCTTCCCACCATGCTTACTCATGCAGCATCAGCAGTCACAGGGCATAGAGAAAGGGGAAATGAAGAGAACAGGGTGACTGCAAGAGGAGGGGGAGATCAAAGTGTCTTCCTTTCTCCCCTCAATTTGAACTTCTGTGTCCTATTTCTGTTGTGTTTCTCAGTTTGTTTTCCC